CATATCTTATATAATTTTGCACCACTCACAAGCTACCAGAATCATTTTTTTCTTCTAGCATCAGAAAGCTAATAGAATAAAATATTTTTTTGCTTTCCTTATGCCTCTACATATAGCTGATAAATGCATAAAGATAAAAAATATATAATATTAATAATTCTGTGAAGTCCCAATTTTCTTTTAAACTGGAAATAATTGCGTAACTTCTTTCACTAATATTTGGTTAAATAAACACTAGGGATCTCTTTCCTGTTCTGTTCCTCCCAAATGTTTACTTTACTATTTTGAAGCAAATCACTCTTTAAGGTGTCATTCTAAAGCATTGTGTTCTTCCAATTATTGCAGTCCCAGGAAAATAGCTAGCCATTTTACAACCATTTTATCATAAGAGATACCACACTCAGGAAATGCTAATTCTTGCAGACAAATGTGATGAGGTCTCAACATTGTGTTTCCTGAATGCAACATAGTTCTCTGAAGTGAAGACTGTGGAATCCATAATATGTAAAACAATTCATAAGTGGGGAAAAAGGAAGTCCCATGAATACATCCTAAAGGAAATATAAACATAGAAATATACAGCATTTTAAGCGTCACTGTCACCCAACACCTCCCACCCCCACATGAATGTCCACTGTACGGCGAAGGCAGGGCTGCTGCAATCTTTAGACCTGGGACCTAAAGAATATGGTGTACTAACTCCAACTAGTGGAGACATAGTTTTGGGTCTCAACTCAGAGGTTAAAGGAAAACTGTTGCAATGATTACTATAGGTAATAGTTTTGTGTGTTATTTTGAATACTTGCATATAAGTTAAATTCTCATCACTGGTTTATCATCCCTCCAGGAGAACTGCCATCTTTATTTCCTGTTTGGTCGGAAGCGCTATTTTTTCCATCAACCATGACCATCAAGCTGACCAGTTGAACAGTTGAAATTGTGGATGCACACCCAACGCTAGAACGTGAATTGAAGAGACATTGATGTTTATCAGCTTCCTGTTACGTGCATGTATCTGGGTCAGCTGAAAACATGTTATAAAGACTGATAATTGAAGAAAGATTTCTGGCCAAGGACATAACGACTTTACTCAGTGAGACTAACTGAAAGGTTTAAACTTATAGAATAGATATGTTAAGGTTGTGCTGCCTGAGCCCAGGAAGAAGGAAGAAAATATATACACACACACACACACACACACACACACACACATACATACACTGCTGTGTGTGTGTGTGCTGCGTGAGGCTGGTTTGAGGGTGTTGTGTGTGTAAGGGTGCTGTGTGTGTGTGTGGGTGCTGTGTTTTAGGGTGCTGTTAGTGTGATATGTGTGTGAGGGTGTTTATGTGTGTGTGTGTTTGTTAGGGTCCTGTTAGTGTGCTGTGTGTATGAGGGTGCTGTGTGTGTGTTTGTGAGGGTGCTGTTCTGTGCTGTTTGTGAGAGGGTGCTATGTGTTTGAGGGTGCTGTATGTGTGAGTGTGCTGTGTGTGTGTGGGTGCTGTGTGTGTGTGGGTGCTGTATGTGTGTAGATGCTGTGTGTGTGTGATGTACTGTATGTGTGTGAGGGTGCTGTGTGTGAGTGGGTGCTGTATGTGTGTAGATGCTGTGTGTGTGTGAGGGTGCTGTGTGTGTGTGGGTGCTCTATGTGTGAAGGTGCTGTATGTGTGTGAGGGTGCTGTGTGTGCTGTATGTGTGTGAGGGTGCTGTGTGTGTGTGCTGTATGTGTGTGAGGGTTCTCTGTGTGTGAGCTGTATGTGTGTGAGGGTGCTGTGTGTGTGTGTGTGTGGGGTGTGTGGGTGCTGTGTGTGTGTGGGTGCTGTGTGTGTGCTGTATGTGTGTAGGTGCTGTGTGGATGCTGTGTGTGTGGGTGCTGTTAGTGTGATGTGTGTGTGAGGGTGCTGTTTGTGTGCGATGTGTGTGTGAGGGTGTTTGTGTGTGTGTGTGTTTGTTAGGGTCCTGTTAGTGTGCTGTGTGTGTGAGGGTGCTGTTTCTGTGCTGTGTGTGAGAGGGTGCTTTGTGTTTGAGGGTGCTGTATGTGTGTGGGTGCTGTGTGTGTGTGGGTGCTGTATGTGTGGGTGCTGTATGTGTGTGAGGGTGCTATGTGTGTGCGCTGTATGTGTGTGCTGTATGTGTGAAGGTGCTGTATGTGTGTGTGCGCTGTATGTGTGTGTGCGCTGTATGTGTGTGTGTGAGGGTGCTGTATGTGTGTGTGTGTGCTGAGTGTGTGCGGTGTGTGGGTGCTGTGTGTGTGTGGGTGCTGTATGTGTGAAGGTGCTGTATGTGTGTGAGTGCTGTATGTGTGTGCTGTATGTGTGTGGGTGCTGTATGTCTGTGGGTGATTGGTGGGGGGTGGAGGTGGGGGTACATTACTTAATATCCCCCCTCCCTTCTTACCTTATGTAGGGAGGGAAGATTCTTGTTCCTGCTGCTTTCCCTGGTGGTCCAGTGGAGAGTGAACTCTAGCTCAGTTCACTCACGCAAGATCTGAGCGTTGCCGTGACAACGCTCAGATCTCGCAAGAGGAACCCGGCGGAGCTGCTGGTTGAGCTCCCCGGGTCCTCTCCTGCCTCCCTCCATGCTGCAGTGGGAGGGAGGCTGAGAGCAGAGCCGGCGCTCGGATAGCGCTGGCTCTGCATGAGCCGACAGGGGAGATCCTGAGATCTCCCCTGCCGGTCTCAATACATAGGCGTGCCGCGGGGATTAGGGTGTGCCCCGGCACACCCCGTGCGCACGCCTATGCTCTTGAGCTTAGTTCCACTGAGATAACCAAACCAGGAAGTAACAGGACTGGTTGTCTGATTGACAACCAGGGACGTTTAATAAATTCTATTTTAATCTGCACATTTGTTAAATGAAAGAAGAGGATACACTCTTTCCACATGAAGTGCTTTAGAAAGCTGAAGTAATTCAAGTATCTGGAGTGTCCCTTTAAAGTAACACTCCAAGTACAGAGATGCCCCCCACCTACCCTTCGCCTATTGTAAGGAGTCAAACTGTATTTCAATGGTTTGGCTTCTTACTCTCTGCTTCCACTACCAACGCCAGAAAGTCATGAGTCCCTAAGCAGTTCCATTAGCTAATGCGATTTCCTGATTAGGAGCTTACAGCTCTATGGCATTAGTTTGCAGATATGGAGCGTTGCCCAGTGGATACCAAGTAGGACTTCTTACAATTGGAGAGGGGTGACAGGGCACTCCTGATGAGCTGTTGTAGTCATGGTGCTTGGAGTTTCCCTTTAAAGCTGAATTACAAAATAGTGTGCATTATTTTGTATAGTGTGTGTGTGTGTGTAGGTTTTATTCATTAAACACCAAATTGCTGTATGATGAAAAGTAAAGTGTAAAATTGTGGTTAAACTAGCGAAACTGTGACTGTAGATGAGCTTGGAGAATTTATTTTAGACTACATTTTGCAATGCAGGTTTTATTTCATTACGATTAGCTAATATGTAATCATTAACTATTACACAAGCCAATCCAAGGCCACTGCAAGTTAAACAACCCTGAAAACATGAAAAACTTTGTTTTTACAAATTTTCTCTAGAATCATGCGAACATTCTCAATGACAAGAACACAAGCATTTATATGGCTCCAACTATGAACGAGACCTTGAGAGTCTAGTATATGTTGATTTACAATATATTAAAGGCATTGGATGTCTGCCAATATTTTATTAGTGTCTATTAAACATTTCACAGGGAACAGCATCAATTTTAATGTAAACGTGTGTCATACAAGGCAAGTCAGATGATTGCGTGATTTAAAGCACAAGTTGAAGGGCAATAGGCAGTAAATATAACTCTCATTTCTAAAGATTAGGGAAGCCTACAAAGAACATC